GGGGCGGGACGTGGCGCCGCCGAGAAGGCTGGCGGGAAGGCAGAGGGGCCCGGCCCGGCCGCGGTCACCGGTACGGCCTCTTGTCCTCGTCCTGAAGCCGGTCACGGCCTCTTGTCCTCGTCCTGAAGCCGGTCTTCAAAGAGAAGAGGTGACCCGAGGCCCCTTCGGAAGGGTGGCGAAGGTGCTGTGACTTTATGAGCCCTTCAGTTTATTACACTGCCCTGAGCTGGGTTTTAATATATATCCCCCCCCCCATTCCCTGTGATCTGGATTCTTCATCCCATAAATACAAATTCTGCCTTCTGCGCGGCACCTGCCTGCTCACCGCCTTCTGGATTCGACGCTGTGACATGGATGTTCTTCAGCCACTCCTTGCTTTTAAGTTTTTTGTCGGTCTCCTCATCTTTGCCTGGTGGCCTTCTGTACTCTTGCATTGCCATCCATGAAAAGCCATCGCATAACGTTTGCTCGCCTTCAAAAATGAGCTGTAACGCATTATTTCTTTTAGGCATGCTTTTTTTTCTAGGGAGCGTATTCTAAAGCAACTCTGAAAACAAAAAGCATCCGCTGATGTTTTGGAAGCTGCAGGTATGTGTGTGGTCATAACGAATGAGGTGGTGCTGCAAAATGTGAGCGCTGGTCTCCAGAGCCTTAAAATAATGTTGATTTGAAATAAAAGGAACTTGTTGATGTTATCTGAGGTTCCTTTCTTATTGTAAATGTTTTTGAGTTTGACAGTGAGCGTCAGTAGCTTAACTCCTCCCCTTGTGGGGAAAGGGAAACTAATCTTGCACTTCAGTTTCATTTTAGCAACTCGTCCCTATTCTTAGAATATAAATAGGCAGAGAAAGCTTTCTAGTATACTTTTAAAGGGGTTAATATTAACTTTAACTTTTATATAAGCATTAAGTGATGAAAATAACCTCCCTTTAAAAAAAAAAAATCTGTGCAGTTCTGTCCAAACACTCACGACTTCCTACCAAAATGCACATTCTACACTTTGCAAACAAAATGAAGGTTTAAATACAGCAGACGGACAGGCTCGTGCACACCTCTGCGTCCTCGTGGAGTTTACTGGAGGGAACATAGTCAGGCCTCGGTGTGCATGGGGTTCTGTGGAAGGTCGTGGGTGTTGTAGGTGGGGTGGTTGTAATACATAAAGGGAAGAGGCAGGGATTTCTTCTGAAGCCATCTGCATTATTTGAGGGCACACTGTCAATTTGCTTTTGTGCGTGGCTGGAGTTCTGGGTTTGCTCACCAGTTTTAATGCTTTAGAACGTTCAGGTTATTCTTTTTGAATGTTTGCTTTTCAGATACGAGTTGGTTTTTTTTTTTTCTCAGAGCAACTTCTGGATTCTGACAACTGTAAAAGCAAGGACCAGTTTTTCACTCCAGTGAACTTTGCCTTGCAAGGGATGATGTTGTCCCTGAGACTTGCAGCCCCTGGAACATTGTTTTGCATCTTTAAAGAGAAGTTCTTCTGTCAGTGATGAACATGTAGTCACCTCTGTCAGCCAGTGCCTGAAAAGTTTTTAAGGGCAGTGAACATGAATGCAAAAAGGAACAGTAAACCTTCTGCTCTCCATTTGTGCCTTTACAACCCACCAGAGGCATGAATCGGTTTCCAAAACTAGTTCCTACTTCTGCTTATTTGACACTAATTCTCATTTTTCTCCCCTCAGCCTAGATGGTATACTTTATGGCTAAAGCTGCGCATGTTTTTATTCAATACTGAGGTTAGAGATTTTTTTTATTATTATTTTCACCATGCGCTTTCAAAATCAGCCTAAAATTCTACTGTTCTCTTTGCATCTCACTTGTGTCTGCAAATACTCCATATCCACGGTCTGCAATTCCCGCAGGCGCGTCTTTTCATCTCTTCTGCATTTCGGTGCTTTTAGCCTCTAGGAGCAAGCGTTGAAAATCTTGGGGTTTGTGCTTATTTTGAAAAGGTTACCTCTTGGTCTGCTGAGGCGCGTGGGGTTCGTGTTGTGCTGCTCAGAGCCCTGTTTGGTAACAGGCCCTGTAGTTCTGCCTTCTCCTAACTCTCCATCCACAAAAGGTTTCGATCACTCTTGCAGGATTCGGTTGCCTTTCTCATTCCTGTGTCTTGGGCACAATCCACATGTTCTTTCATCCCTTTCGGTTGCAGCTGGTTTCCAGTTCTCAGCCAAATATCATTTGCGTTACCCTCTCCCGGCTTTGTTCCCTGCTGTCCTCGCACTCTTTGCACAGCGGTGCACGTTCTGACTGAGGGTTTGGAGGGAGAAACCCACTTAAGTTGCCTGTTGGTCTTGTGAAAAATAAGAGGGTTTGATTTATGCGTGCAAGTTTCACTCTTGCAGGTTAGTTTGTCTTTATAACCTGGGAGAAAAATAATAAAGGGAAGGTTATATTTCTGTGTGGCTTAAATAGAGGTTTATAGAGACCCAGGAACATCACCTGCTTGGAGGGAGGGCTGAGTTTTGCTCTCTTTGCTTCCCCATCGTGTTCTCTTTAATGCTGTCCTCCAGAATGCCTTTCTGCTTGGATCTAGCTTCTGTCCAGACAAGCCTTCCAGCACCTTGCACCATGGCATTGCATCTGGCTCCGTATCTGCACTTACTCCTCAGCAAACCAGTGCTCTCTCAAAATTGGAGCCAGTCTACTCTTAGCCTGTCCCACTTGCCTGTGTCAAAGGATGTTATTTTAGAAGCTGAAGTGTAAAGAATATTCTGATGCATGTGGAATTAATGAAAATTTTGTTCCCAATTACAGAAGAATCAATTTATCATAGAATCATAGAATGAATCAGAATTTCATCCTTGGAGTTCAAAACTCAAAAGCATCCATGTGCAAAATCCCAGTCTCTGCTTACATCTTGAACAAAAGAATTTATATTGATCTCTTCTGGCTGAAGATATTTCTTGTTTTGGAGCCACGTACTTTTTTTTTCCAGATGTTAGCTGTGTAGCAAAGCTTTTTATACTTGTGTGCATTTCTGCAGTCTGGGGAGGTTCTGGGGATGGATACCAGCACTTGGATTTCTAAACCCATATGGACCACCTTTTTATACTTGTGTGCATTTCTGCAGTCTGGGAAGGTTCTGGCATACCAGCGCTTGGATTTCTAATCCCGTATGGACCATGTGGCTGGGGGAAATTCTGCCACCTATTTTGGTCTGTGTTGTCACGTATAAAATGGAAATTGTTGCCATTTTTTGTTTTATTTTAGGTCATCACAAGTTATTACATTTAAAAAACAACTTGAGCTTTATTTAATTCCTGACATCAAAGTATGGGGGAATCGTAGTGTGTAAATCCATATTTATTTAAGCTGTAATTTTAAAAACTTCTGCATTGTTGACCTCCCTCCGTGGATGAAGCTTTGATCTCCCAAATGCTGTGCATGCTTTGTAAATTTTATGTGCTGACAATCAACAGGGCTGCTGAATGAATGACTTGAGTACAACAAAGTGTTAAAAAAAATCTAATCCTGTTCCTGCCTTAATAATTAATGAACCAGTGATCTGTGTTCACTGTTCACTATAAAGTAGATTTGTTTTTTATTTTTCTCTGGGCAAATGAGGTTAGGAAGTTTCAAATGGAGTTAAAAAATACTTAGGAGAATATTTGCTGCTTCTTTCTTCTAAGTTTCTCAAAATCCTTATTTTGCAAGAGCCCCGCATCTTACCCCTGCTTCGCAAGGACCCCGCTCTCGCTGTGAGCTGGCGTTGGACGCTGTGACTGCGCTGTGCTTCGCCTTGGGTGGCTCCTTTTATTCACGAGCAGTCTTATTTATGTTGGGGATTCTGAGATCTTTAAGCGCTTTCATGGTTTGGGACAAGATGGTTCAGCACTCAGCAAGGTTAAACCTGTCCGCATGGCTTGTGAAGTGTAACAAAAGCTGTTCTCATTGAAGTAATCCACTGGAAAAAGAAGTCTATAATTCAGTTGAAGTGCCTTTTAAATTAAGTCATACTTGCAACTTTCATTTCCATGAAGTTCAGAGGAAGAAATGAAGCTGCTGTTTGTGCTTTCCGTCTAAATGCCACGTTTGAAATGACTCTAACACATCTGTGTAGCGAGGAGAACCTGACACCTAATTGTCAGCTGGACGTGGCACCACAGGTTTTTCTCTAGAGCAATTTGAATTATGAATAAAATCCAGTGAATTCAGTTGTAACGAGGTAAATCTGTCACTTGGCAACTAATAGGGACCATGTGAGTCACTGCTGTGGGTATTCTTATTTCATATACGTTTTATTAGTGAAGTTTGGTTTCAGAATGTTTCAACGAAATGCCTTTTATTTGTAGGAGCAAAGATCAAATTCGTCACCGCTGTCTCAGAGGGGTTTTCAGGTAGGATTGACAATAACGTTTGGTTACGTGGAGAGATGAGCAATAATGAAGATGATGATTGGAATGGAAGTCCAATAAAATGAATATCTAATGTGATCATGTGGCTCTATTGCTGTCCACTGTCTAGATCAGCATGATGCTAAATCAACAAGGCTGCTCTTGAGCATAAAGCACAGATGAAGAAAACTTTATTTCAGCAATGTCTCCAGGGAATGAGAATCTTGAATTTAAAGGATATTTCTGCATGTTAAATTCTACAGCTTTAAAGTCTGATCTCTGTCTTGTCTAGGGTGTATGGTGTCTCAGAGAGGGAGACAGACAGGCAGGGCTTAGTTGGTCTTGTTTTAAAAACTTTGAGTTAAGGAAGAAAATGACATTTTACTATAGGGGATTTCCAGCTAGTCCTGACCATTTGTGTAGGAAAACCCAACCGGGATAAAAGATATGCATGAAACATGAAGACCTTGGTTAATAAGACTAGAAAGACAAAGAAATGTTTGGTTTAAGGAGATGGTGTGAACTTCTCTTAGTCCAAAGTTGTCTTCAAGAATGCAGAGAAACAACTGCAGTAACAAACTGGCTGGGTTTGGGGGTGCTGGGAGTGCAGTGGGGGGCACAGGAGAGCGATAGGCAGGGGAACATGTGGGAGAGATGCCGAATTCAGGCAGTGGAATTTTTTTTTGCGGAAGACAACTTCGTTCTGGGTTTCTGATCTGGCTCTTTTCTCTAGTTCGCAGGCAGGCGCAACTGGGATGCAGCAAAAGACTTGCAGAGATACAGACATCATTACCCGGTATGGACGAAACGACGATGCACATACTCTTGTGGCTCTTCCTCACCTCATGCTGAGTTTAGAAATGCTTTCTAGATTTGAGGGCACCCATTTGTCTTTACATTGACAGGCTCAGAACCTTTAAAGGATTCATTTGTGAGGGGGAAGGGATGATGTGCGTGTGGGTGCATCAGAAAACAAGCTGTTACTTCCCAAAACACATTTCAAGGATTTGGCTTGAAATGTTTAAGGAAACGTGAGGGAAAGCAAGGAGAAATGTTGAAGTGAATACTGCCTTATAAAAGATTGCTGCTTGTTGATTTCTTGCTCTCATCTCCAGGGTTTGATAGAATCAGAAAATGAGGAGGAAGAAGAGATGTGGAACTTAAGCTTTTACAAAAATGAGATTTGTTTTTTGCCCCGGGGTGAGTACCTTGTGTGATGGCTGTTCGATGCAGTTCTGCTGCAGCTGGTTGAATTGGTGAAAGAGTAGCTTGATCCATGTGGGGCAATTATTAAAAAACCAAAACAAACAAAACCCACCACCAAACTAAAAAGAAATCCAAACTGAAACAAATAAAAAACCCACCAAGAATTTCCATTTATAAAATGTCCTTGTTCCTGCTGTGTGTTCCCTAATTTTCTGCTTGATGGTAGAAAACTAAGGAGTTTTTCTGGCTTACCAGGGTGGTTGTCTAGTTCGAGAAGCTAATGCCTGTATGCAAACACCTGGCTCTGGGTAATGAGCCACCTTGGCTGACTGGGTAGCTTCAGTTTTCACTTGGTGTCATTACTTCTTGCCTGACTTTTTTTTTTTTTTTTTTTTTTTCCTTTTCAGGTTTGCACATTGAAACTCTGCTTGAATCTTGGTGGGACAACTATGAAGTTCTGGAAGAAAACCATTCCTACATACAGTGGTAAAGTGTCTGCATGAATACAGTTGCCTCTCTTTAGCTGTGCCTCTTTTCAGAGTCCGTTGCATCCGTGTTCCTGAATTCAACTTCCCAAAAGGCCCAGAGTTACTCTTGAGTGAAGCCTGTGCCCACTTTATTTTTATTGAGTTATATTCTTCTGGAAACAATGCAGTGGAAATCCTGAAGACACAGGTTTCCAGTGGGGCTGTGGCAATAGATCTCAGTCATGCTTGGTCCTACAGCATGCTGCAGACCAAAGTATTAAGGCAACGAGAGAGATCGAGATAAACAAAGTATGTTATCGGTGGTGTAGACAATGCTTTGATGGGAGGGATTTATTTGTCATATAGTGAACTGCTGCTGTGTCCATAAGGATATGAGGTCTCCAAGAGATGCCGGTGATATCACAATGTTTGGCATCTTTTTTAGTTTTAACAGAATATGTACCCTGGGTTGGATGTCATCTTTGCTCATCTGGGCTGAAAATTTCTTTCCCTTCAGGCTGTTCCCTTTACGTGAATATGGGATGAACTGGCGTGCCAAACCACTCACGTGTCAAGAAATCCAGGTATTGAAAGCTTTTGTCTTTTTTTTTAATGATTTTTTTGAGATCTGAAGGATGTTAGGATTTTCCCTAAATGCCTTATATTTGAAGTCTAGGTTTTTTACATTGCTTCATTGAACACAGCTCACTCAAGCTCTGCTAACCATTTGTCTGTCTTGTGTCTGCCAGTAGCTACACCAGCAAACGAAATGCTTAGTGATATAATCGAGCCTTGTTTATAATTCAGGTGCCACTTCAACTGGTGCAGGTAATTAGGGAGCTGCACCTTGTGCTCATTGGTCTATCTTGTTTTCAGGCTTTTAAGAAGTCCGAGGAAGTCATGCAGAGGTTTATACGTGCTTATCAGCTCATGCTGAGGTTTTATGGAATCATTCTGATCAACGAGAAAACTGGAGAACTCAAGAGAGCAGAGAATTGGGCTGAACGATTTCAAAACTTGAACCGGTGAGTCTCAGTTAATACTGCTGGTCATTTACTACAGCCAGGCACCAAGTCAAAGTCAAGAGCATCCTCAGCCCTTGCAGAATGGAGGCTTTTGTTGATAGAAAAGTTGGCTAGCTAAAGTATTTTTAACTTGGCTCAGCCTTTGATTGTAGGCCATTGCACTCTCTGTCACTTTTATAAGTGACAAGTATAATAAGTAAACCAGCTGAGACTGCTTTTCTTTTGAGTCTGGTGCAGCTGTTAACAGCAGGCATTCTTCGTGTTGGTCTCCCGAAGTATGCAGTACAGACTTGGAGATGTTCATATTGGCTCTAGCAGAGCTTGTGTTTAAAGCCGTATTTAAGCAGGAATCACCGACACATTTTCACAGGTAGCCAAATTGCCTTTGTGGTATTCTGTTAAACTACAAGAGTGTTTCCATGTGCTTCCCTGATTCCTTATAAAGCTGCCATTCAACATGCTTTGAATCTTTGGTTGAAAAGTGCTCTGCAAATCGATGGTAATATTTTTATATTATTGCAGGTCTTATCATAGAGATAGTAATGACCCTTCATATTCTAGTTCATATTCTATATTAACAAGGGCTTTTGTGGGCATACAAAAGAAAATCCAACTTGAAGACTGTCAAACATTAAAAAAGAACAAAACAAAAACCAAACCAAAACAACAACAACAAAAACCACAACCAAAAAAGCACCCCAACCCCCAAAAAAGCTGTGTCTAGCTTAAGTCCCGAAGTCATGAATTTCTGGCAGCATCCTTACGTGCCTGTATTCTTATACTTTTCTACAGGCTTACCCTGCAGGGTCACTGTCAGGGGCAGGATATTGGGCTGCATGGACTTGTGTGTCTGACCCAATACGGTGGCTGTTATCTACTGGTGGGTGATGCAGAAAGCCAGAGCCTTTCCAAGCAGTTGAGATGATTAATCCCAGCAGTCCAAGAAGGGCTAGGAAGGTACTGCTAAAGGCAGACAGCAGCGGTAGGTGCTTTAAAAGTAAGCCCGCCTATACTCCCATCTGCATTGTCAAATAGTCTGTAATAGATCATAGTCGATAACGCGCAAAACATTTTGCAGGTACCCTGGGGGTTCGTGGTGACTTCAAGTTTGGAAGACTCACTTAACAACTGTGCCTATCTGTTCATTTCAGGTTTAGCCACAACAATTTGCGGATCACGCGCATCCTGAAGTGCCTGGGGGAGATGGGATACGAACATTATCAAGTGCACTTGGTAAAGTTTTTCCTAAGAGAAACTCTTGTTAAGGAGACGTTACCAAATGTCAAGAGAAGTGCCTTGGATTACTTCCTGTTCACCATCAGAAGCAAACGGAAGAGAAGAGAACTGGTCCACTATGCTTGGCAACACTTCAAACCTCGAGGCAGCTTTGTATGGGGACCACAAGACAAACTCTTGAAGTACAGAGCACGCTCTGCCAGGTCACAGCTGCATAAAAAGGCTGAAGATAAACAGGAAACTCCTGGTAAAAAATGTGATGATTCTGTGGAAAAGGATCAGAACCGGTCTCTAGAGGAAGAACAGAAAGCTGGAGAAGCTGCAGACTTGCAGCCCAAAGCTGATGATGAAGCTGTAAAAGAGAAGTTAAGTGAATGCGTTTTGAAGGGAGGGGATGGTGAAGAGGAGAAAGAGGTTTCACTTACCCAGCAGGAGGAGAAGGATTTAAACAGTGAGGCTGAAGAAGGGCAGGGTACAGCAGAGAATGACTGCACAAAGGAGAGCAAGAAGAGAAAACTGGATGCAAACATGGCAGATGCTAAAAAGAGTGGACCATTGAAAAGCCCTACTGATATTGAAAACATTTCCCGTAATCTGGGAGAATGTGCAATTGCTGCAGAAATCCCCTCCTCAGTTCCACTGTTGCAGGCAGAAGAGGAACAAGAAACACTGAAAGAAGATGATGCAAGCATCAAAGACTCAACAGTGCCAGAGACAGCTGATGCAGCTGTAAAACGGCGAAAAGTTGATAAAAGAACATCGAGAAGTAAAACGTTCAACTTGGCCATAAACCTGAACATGGGGCCCTCTGCCTCCGGTGCCAAGTTAAATCCATCTGTTGCAAACACTGAGCCTGAAAAAGGAAATGTCAGTGAGAAAAATGCAACTGTGGAAGCGACAAGTGAGGAGGGGGGGGATGGGGGCGGTGTAAATGGTGGGGCTGTGAGACCCCCGGTTGATTCCAGGCTCCCCAAGGCTGGCTGGACTTCTCCAGTAAGTGATGGCTTGGAGTTGAGTGGAGATCAAGTCACAGCAAGGAGTGATCAGCACCACTGCAACAGCATGCTTGCGGGAGGCAAAAGTGAGGTAGATGGGGTAGAACAACATAAAAAGGCAGAAAATGCAAATGAAGAAGGGCAGGCAGAAGCCACAGGCAAGAAACAAGTTCCAGAGAGTCTTGAGCAGAGCGTGGCATCCACTTGTCCTGAAGAAGACAATGCTGAGCTTGCAGCACAAAAACCTGACAGCTCTGAGCGTGCAGTGGAAGCTGGTGAGGAGCAGGTAGCAGCAGAGTGAGACCAGCCCAGCAGGCACTCGAGCAAGAGGAGGTGGCACTGCCCTCACTGCTAGGAGCCAGCTTTTTAGTGGTTTGGATAGCAGAAGAACACACGGAAGAATAAACTTCCTTTGGGCCGATCCAGGCTAGACCCTGCCTTTCACCCTTCCACAATAGTCTGTAGTAACTTCACTGAAATCCAGTGCTTGGTTACCCTAGGGAGGAAAACTCTGTAGTCCTCTTCACCGACAGGCTGTGTCCTGTTTCTGTTTTTTATCTGATATTCAGGACTATCTTGGAGTAACAGGGATTTTTGCACTTTGCCTTGGTTCTGGTATGTCCCTTCTTAAAGAGAAGAGGGAAAACTAATCTGTTTCCTTGTTTGAACTAATCAAGTATTTATTAAATACATGATTTTTAATGTATGACAGCATGATCTAATTTGCCAGGCCTTTCTATTATCATGTAACTGCTATTTGTTATTCTGAAAGGCTGTACCTTCCCAGGAGATTTATCCCTGGCAAAGATGCCGTGTGTCTGCTTCCTAGGGTGTAAATAATTATTTTTGTGGTGTTTGCCTGAGAGAGATGAGTATATGCATTTTGCTCCATGTAAGACTGTGGTTGCCTCTCCTATAAAGTAGATTTGACTTTAGTCTGGGATAAAATGCATCGTCAAAACATATCTCTGCCCAGTATTAACCTTTGCGTACAGATCCTGTTCTCTAGGGTGTGAAGTCCTGATTAATTTGTTCTATTTATCCCCCGCAGAAGTTGCTTTGTAGTGCTTGTTAGAATCAAGAGTATGAATTGTCTACGGGTTTCTAAGAGAAAAACCTTCAGACTCTGTGTAAAGCTGTCTGGAGCTCTTCTTCCCCAGGTTTTTCTACCATTTTCAGACCCTTGATAGTCTTCCACAGATATTTCTGTCCACTACTACTTCAGTTCTCTCCTCAACTGCCAGAACAGAACAAATATTTGTCATTGCATCTTTTCAGGCTCTGCCGTTAATTTACAACTGTAAATCACAGCTGCGGGGCTGTCTTTTCTGCAAGGCCCATTGCATGAAGTTAGATGTGTCAGATTTAACCCACTCCTTAGTTAGGGCAGGATTGTTTTACCGTTAATGGCCAGCATGTCAGACAGTTGTGAGTGCAACGTGTCTGGAAACCACTGGGTTTTGTGGGGCAATTAATTGAAACTTTAATTGGAGGGGGTACGCTTGTCTGGTTCATTTATTTACAGTCCTCAAGAATTTACTTTCAGACCTTGCCAGCTATTTGCCTGCCTTAATACTCCTGACCTCCCTGTTAGCTATTCTGCCTGACTTGCACGGTATTCATCCAAGGCTGAAGGAGCATTAAACGATTTAGCACTTGCGCTCCTGGAGATTTACAACAGAGGACCTGTGCCATGCAGCAGAGGAAGCAGTTTCCAACAGCCAGAAGGTCTGGACTTGCTGTTTTCTCAGATTGGTTTTTTAGTTTTGGGGTTTTTTAGGTGCTGTTTGATTTGTGTAGGAGGTGGCTAGAGGTTTGCCCACTTTGCCAGAGAGCAGATGCGGTAGCCTGTGCAATGTTGATGTTTTTCCTCTCTCTGCTACAGCTCTTAAGAAGCTTCGTCTTTCAAGGAATTTGATCCATGACTTGCCTTCCCAGACCTTAGGTCCTGATCCAGCATGCCACATACATGTGGGTGGGAATAAAAGTCTGCAAGCTTAACACGTAATGTTCATGGTCACACACGTGCTGGAAAAAGGCTTTTATGGTTTTAAAATACTACTTTTTTTTTTTTTCTTATGAACAAATGGAGTCAAATAGCCAGTAAGAATACACTTAACTACAGATATAAATACTTGAAGATGTTGAGTGAAAATTCTTTCATAAAAGATTCATAAGAAGTTGTTAATCGTGGCTTTTGTACAGATTTATAGTAATTTTCTTATTTAATGAAGTTTTCATTGTGAATATGTGCTCGGTTGGGGCATAGATCATGTATCTTGTTATGGTGATGTATGGTTTGTTTTTGTGTTTAATGGGATTTCACTGTGAGCCCCTAGGCTGGAATGCTCAAACCAAAACCATTCCTTTTATGAGTAATTTTAGAGTTTCGGCCGTAGGTGTTTGCAGTGAGTTCACAAGAGGTTTTCCAGCACTCAGAGCTGTATCACAGAGTCTGTTACTTTAATGTCACCTATTAAAGCATGACTTTAATCCATACCAGTTTCCACTTACATTGTTTTCATCTCTGAGGGCAGGACATGACCCCATATCTGCCCCCCCCCCACCACCACCACCCCCTGTAGCCATCTGCTGTTGCTGGGGCACCTCCGGGTGGGTGCTTGGGGCCATCTGGCATTCCCAAGCAGAGGTCTGGTGGGCTCACCATGAGATAAACTTGCTGCATGTTCCACATGGAGACAACGCTCAGTCTTCCTCCACCGCTGTAGAACGTGGCCAGGGGATGTTTGTGGGGAAAAGACACCCCCCCACACGTGCTTCTTGTTTAATGATGTGCTTTGAAATGTTTCGGTAGGCCCTGCCGTGGCTTTGTGCTGCTGTCCTCCCGAGCGTGTGTTGGGATGCTCAGTAGAGCAAACAAGGACTTGGCTCTTGGGCAGCTTGCGGGGCTAGCGGGCAGGGAGGGCAGCTGCCCGGCTCGCACGTGGGGGCTTCAGGCCAGTGGGACTTCTCCTTCAGGACACGAGCACAGGGGTGTCTTTGTGGGAGTGATTTCTGTAAGTCGCTGTGTCCCTTTGGCTGTGCTCCCTCTGCCATGGGGACGTGGAAGGAGAGGGACCCATCCTGGTCCTGTTCTTGCTCTGTGGGCTGGGCTTGAAGGTGAACACTGGAGGGCTCTTCCCATGCTGGTCCTGAGCAGGCTGCGCTTGCAGCAGCCCTCCAGCCCCTGGCTTGCTACGAGCGATGTGTGGCTGAGGAATTTGGATCTGTTTTGCCTTCCCTCTTGCCATCAGTTGGCCTCGGTGCGAAGGAGGAGGTACAAGCTCTGGGCGAAGCAGTTGGGGCGGCTGCGCTGCTCTCTGTCTGCGGGGTTTATGGTGTCTAATAAAGCATTCCATTTACTTTGAAGACATAAACACACTCTCCCTTTCTGTCCCCTGCTGCCTGTTCCACAAAATCTTGTAGGAACTTAGTAAATCTTTGAGCCTTTTATCCCTCTGTCAAGGTTGGCAGAATATTGGCTGCCGGGGAGCTGGACAGGCACGCGCTGTGCTCGCAGAAACCTCTTGGAGTAGGGATGCCAAACTGAAACCAGGTATTTCGGGGGTTTTTTTAAGCTTTGCTTTTCCACTCCTGCTCTCCTCGTGCTAACCAAATGAGCTGTGTCATTTCAGTCCTGATGAATCTTGCCCCTGTTCCCGCTTCCAAGCCCTGCTTTGGTTGAAATTGTCTTTAATGGGCAAAGGGAAGCGTGAAGCTATCTGCAGGAGCTGCATCTTGGTGAATATATTGCCATTTGGGATTGCCTAGTTGGGAGCTGTCAGCCTGTTCCTTCCTTGCAAATACTTCAAAGGCAATTCTTCCTTATTTTTTTTCTTTTTGTGGCTCTGAGAATGTTTCTCCTTTTTTTCTTCCTCCTTGTATCTGTCTGCGATCATCTGTCCCCTGGTCAGGATTCATCGCTTTCTCAAGAAATCAGTTGGCATTCTTTAGATCTCCCTGAAAAAAAAAACAAACCCAACAACCCAAACCAGATGTGAATACACGTCCAGAGCTAATAAAGCATCTCGCGAGGCAGTCGGTGTGTTTCTCCGTAGCACATCTTGCACTCGTTGCAGGTATATTAACTTCTCTGGTGAAGTTGGGTAGCCTCAGGCGCTGAGTAACCCTCGCTGTGTGTTGCTTTGTGTCTGTCCAGCGCGGAGGTGGTGATGGGCTTTGAGGAATGGCCTGGGTGAGACCTAAGGAACATCTTTGTATCTCCAGCTGGAGCAGCCGCCTTTTGCTCCTGCGGCGTGTCTGCAAGTCCAGCCCTTCCTTAGGCTCCCTCCCTGTTTGCTCAAGGCTGGGGCTGCCCAGCGGGGCATGAATGAGGGTTTCTCTTCCCGACCGACTGCGGCTCCCCCTCCTTCTCCCACCTCCTTCCAAAACCTCCTCTCTCCTCCTAGCTCGGCCCCTCTTGCCTGTGCTCCTGAGCTCTGCCCCTCCAGCTGGAGCCGCAGGTTTATCTGGAGGCGAGGAGCCTCTCTCCTTTGTAAGCTGAGACCCCGGAGGAGGAGCAGGGATCTGCTGGACCCTGGAGGAGAAAGAGCCCCGCTGCCCTGGGGAGAGGCAGAGCCTGGGCACCATGGCTGGATTCTCCACTCTTGGGCTTCTCTTCCTCTGTCAGCTCTTAGCCACGGCATCAGCTCAGGTAAGAAGCCTCACGTATGTGTTACGCTCAAGAAAAAAGTCCCTAAGGGAAAAAGAGAGTGGGCCGTGTATGTTACATCTGCGGGATGAAACGTGGCAACAGGCAAGTTATAAAGTTTATTAAAAATGCTTGTGCCGTTACGCAGAGGGTGCCTAGCAAGCGTAGCGGGGGCTGTACCTGCGCAGGCTTTGGGATCCTGTCCTCGTGTGTAGGAACTGCTGCTTCATACCCACGCAGGACTGCAGCTACGAGAGAGAGAGCCTTGGGAAAGGGGAGACCTGACGGTGGAGGAGAAACAGTTTTCTTTTACAAGGAAGTTAATAGGTCGCCAGTGAGACTGATCTCCTGGTCTGGGTTTTCGTCTGAATCAAAATTTCTTATTCCTTCCCTCAATCAATTTTCAAAACTTATAAAATAGCCTGTTTAACCCTTCTTTGCTTCAGACATGATCTATATTAAACTTGCCTGTATGGTGCTGTTATTGCCTGGGGAAGTAGCTCCTCGGTGAGGTTTTTCATTGTGTTAGTGCGGAATTTTTGCAGTCTGGCTTGGGAATTCAGAGCTGCCCTCATCTGCTGCGAGCAGAGCCGCTTCTACAATGAAACCTTTGTTCGCTGAAGCTACAGCAAGTTGCTCCCTGGAGCCCTCTCCATACAGAAGTCATTTATTGGACCTTTCTTTCCTTCCCCCCACCTCAGACCTCCTCCAGAATCCCAGATTTTCAAATGGCATCCTGCTCGGAGAGGAGGCTTTCGCTTTCCCCTTCTGTCTTCGATGGTGTCCGCCTCGCTCTTCCATCACCCCATCAGACTGGGACTGTAAATTAACTTTTAATGCCAAGCACTTAGCACCTATTTTCCGTGGGCTTTGCTTTTCCTCCTCTGCCCAAAACGAGCTGTGCCTGTAGGCAGTGAGAACCATTTCTTATACAACCAAATGCGTTTGCTGCCCAGCGACCAGCTCTGATTCCCAGCATAAGCCACCAGTTAAACGAGCTGTGAGCCCTGAGGATGTGCCCAGTCAAAAGGGTTTTCCAAAGAGCCTTGTACTGGTCTTAAGCTCCTCTGAGTCTACCCAGGATGGCAGGGGGCCCCGAGGGATGGAGGATTAGTGCAGATTTAGGGTTATGCTATAGGGCTTGGCCATGGCTTTCTGATTCATCCTGTATGTTTCTTCTGATGCAAAAATAAACTCTTCTCTCTCTCTCTTTTCCCCAATCCTTTCAGAGAGTAGGACCACAAGGCCCTCCTGGACCACGAGGACCCCCTGGACCATCTGGCAAGGACGGCATCGATGTGAGTGCCGTGTGGCAGAGGGCAGGCTCGGCCGAGGGAGGGCGAGGGGTGGAGCAGAGGCAGAGCCAGCTGAGCAGAGAAGCTGCTCTTGTTCTCCAGAGCCCCAGCCTTTGGGCCATCCTTCAGAGGTGGATGGACCTGGAGAACCAGCCAATTCACAAGAGACCTCCTTCCACATGAGTCAGAACAGCGAGTGGAGGTGCTGAGTGGCATCGGGTTCTTCGCAGGATCAATCCCCTGTCTCAGGAGAGTTCAGGATGGAGCTGGGGATTCCCGATCCTGCTTGCAAAGCAGAATATTTCACTTCTAGTGTCTAGGGAGGAGCGGGAACGTTATATGGTTGAGTGGATGGGTACAGTGTGCGTCGGGGTCACGGCATGTTCTGTAGTTCAGAGAGAGGTTCATGTGACACTTCAGAGCATCCTCGTTTCTAGAGAGTCCCCAAGAAACTCAAATATGCAGCACTGGACACTGCTTTTACTTATTTTGGTTTTATTTCAGCATTGTTAGTATGGCTGTCCCTGACTTGTACTGGTATGTGAGAGTCAGAATCTGGCTCCTGTGTGTCCAGACATGAGTTGCCTTCAGTAGCACAAAAGGCAACGAAACGGGCATCCTTTATTTCAGCAGGTGGTTCCTTATACGTACACCTCCTGCAGAGCTAGGAGACTACGTACCGCAGGAGAAAAACTTGTCCTATTACTTTTCATTGATGGTTCCATAGAAATGAAACATTTGGCTTCTTTGCATCTGTTGGATAAGGACTGAATTGTGTCCTGTAGTTGGCAGTAGATAAAAAGAGCATCAGATGGACCTTCAGCAAGACCACATCAAATGCAGAAGGCCGGATTCCTGCTTTGATACTCTGTTTGAGTAGTGCTTGTCTCTCTAAGCTGCTTAGGGAATAGGGCAGAGGTTTTTTAAAGCTTGTCTGAAGTAAGTTTATTGGAATTGGGCCTTTAAGCAACCTTGAAAAATACCTATTCGTTCCACACGGGTCATTTTCTTTTGGATAAGAAGGTAAAAAAAAAGATATATGAGTTCCCTGGTATGTGGTGAACAAGGAGCTGTTTTGTCTGCAGTGGTGAGCTTTCACAGTGGCTCTGTGAGCAAGGCTGGTCTGAAGAGAGAACCTCATTGATTTGCAGCTAGTCCTTCTAAAGTGTCCTTTCAGCTCCCAGAGACCGTTTGACAAAAAATCTGACTCTGGTTTTGTAGCCTGAGAAGTTCAGAGCTGGTACCCTGATGGTTTTTCATGATGTGATAAAAGGCTTGAGGGGACGCCCTTGGAAGAGGGCGCAGGAGACGTGTCCATGGCAGCAGCAGGACATCCATGTGGCCAGCGGGCTGCAGGGAAAGGTGTCTGTGTTTCTGTACAGAGTGAAAAAAAAGAAGAATTTGGGAGGGATGAAGCCCTTCAGTAACCAACTTCGGCGTATGGGCAATCGGAAAGAAACAAATTCCTGTAATTGGGTCATTCCGTTCCTGATGTCTACAGGATATTTTAGACCTTAATTCTGGAGCCACACCAGCATCACTTCTGATTGCTCTTGGAAACAGGAGCCTGGGGAGATGCTGGTCATGTGAACCCGTGCCCTTTTATTCACAGCTAAAAGCTTCAGGAGGCTCCCTGTGGGACAGGACCCTATAACAGCATCTAATTCATATGGAGAACTCAGTCCTGGTAAATCAAACGGCTGAGTATTTAAGATGCTAAGTCTTGCAGTTCCAGTTTGAGTCTGGAGTTTTGGCTACGCAGGAATAGTCTCATTTGAATAGACTTGATCTACGTCCCTCCTATGGATATAGGTTGTCAGGTGCCCTGTTCAGGGACAGGCTCTGGGGTGGTTTCTGTGATTCTGCAGGACATATAAAGGTGTAAATCCTTTAGGGATTTGCATAGGAGAAGAGATGCAGAGCTGGGGCTAGTGTTGAGCACAATCATGACCTCCCAGTTTAAGGGTTACCTTAAATCTGACAGTACCCTCCAAAAAATTAAGGCATATAAAATCCAGCACTGCTCTGCATTTTCATAGTGCTGCCTGGAGAGGCTCGTGTGGAGCCTGAGTGGTAGCGTCAATTCAACCCCAGCACAGAATGAAATTGTTATTTTATTTATTTTCTTTAGTGATGAGGCTTTTTTTTTAAAAGCACAATCAGAACTTCCCTGAACTCTGTAAGCCACTCCGGCTGGCTCATCTTTACAGATGGTTTGGGATGAATGCTGTGTGGGAAGAGTCGCTGAACGGTCTCTGAGCTGGATGCGTGCTGCCGAGGTGCTCAGCAGCCCCTTGCTGTCGGCCGTGAGCAGCGAGCGATGCATAACCTACAGCTGAATTATTCAGGATATCTCCCAACAAACCTTGGATGAACCCCATAAGCACAATTTCTCAAGGCTCCCACTTCCATTCCTGCCTTTCAGTGGGAGCTGCAGCGTTAAGTCCCTCTGAAATATTTTATAATTATAGCCTTTACCGTGCTTCATGTTTCATACTCGGTAACAAGCAAAATCTCGCCCTCCCAAGAATAGAAACAGCATGTTATGATCGAAAGAATTAGCGCCAAGTTCCTGTGAATTATTTCTGGGGATGTAATTCCCCAAATTGCTAATAAGCAATTGTCACTTTTCAAAAAATCAAGCTTTCCCCCCCCGACTTTTCATCTCCTGGCTTGACTCGCTAAGAAAGAGTAAACTTCCTTCCCTCTCCTGTAGCACCAGGAGAGCGTTTCCTTTTGCTGACAGCCTTTGCCTCTAATTCCCAGTGATCTGGCATTAGGGGTATAACCACTGATTAGGCTTTTGATTCAGCTGACTGAAGTTCTGGTGCTCCTGCAGAGTCCCGCAGGGGTCCGCGATGGCAGGATCAAGGTTTCAGATGGTCCCAAACAGCCTTTGCTGACACTGGGACCTTGCTGTATGGATTGCCGTCACGCAGGCAAGAAAAAATGCAAGGGGCTGGCAATCTCAGGTGATGGAGGAGGGAGTAAACCACCTCTCCTGCCATTTCTAGCTGCCTTCTCAAACCATTCATTGCAAAAGAACCACTCCTTTCATTTCCTTGGCAGGGGACCTTCCCTACCTATGATAATGATAACTATTTATGGAAAATCGGTGGGCAAAGGACAGCAAAGGAGTTGCTTCAGCAAGACAGAGCATAAAGATCCCTCTGTTCAATGACCCTCTGGTCTGGGCGTTGATGGTCACCAGTGCAGTACATAAATCCTCCCCGGAGCGAACCAAGGCAGCCAGTCCTGAGAGATTTGCCCACAGACTTCACAGTTGCCGACACAGTAAATATAGAAACACGCTATAAATTCCACAGCTTTGCTTACTGCCTTCTAACTCCTCATTATCCGGCCCACGGTGGGGATGGAGTTATTTCTAGCCTTGCTCTGTTAATAACCACTCTTTTTTCCATATAGATTCTTCCACGGTATCAACATGCCCCTTCCCCTCTGCTCGCCCACAACACCTGAGCCTCTCGCAATGTTTAGTGCGTTTACCCTAAGGCTGGGAGGGGAGGGTACCACGTCTGGAACTGGGACACGAAGTGATTTTCTGCGGGATAAGATGGGAAACCGAGCTCCAGTCAAGCTCCCACTAGTCACAAACGATCGCCTTTTTCGAGGGCGAGCAATAAAACACCAATATCTTGTCTGGGGTTCATGCAAGCTCCTGAATGATGTTACAGCTGGCTGAGCTAGGAGGAGTGATTCAGAGACTTAAAATATTGCCTCCCGAACACCTTTCATGCTGTTCTTAAAAGTTGCTTTCCATTAGGATAGGAAAAAATGAGCGCTTTTGAAATATTTTATAGAAATTTGGTTTAATCCAGACTGTGCAATTGGATTAAGCGGAAATCAGTTGGGGGCTCCATTCATTTGCTTTTCCTGTCAAAGTTCAGTCATATGAAGAAAATCATTGTAGACAGCTTGTTCATTCTTCACTTTCTGATAGTCCCCAACTCCTGGCGGTACCGCAGTTTCATCCTGTGTCCTGGATACCTGGAGCTTATCATTGTATCCCTGTGTTTCATCAGGAAGATGTTTGAAAGCCTTGACAGCCATCCAGCTTCCTCCCTGCCCCACTTGCAGACAAACCCAAGTGCCAATGATTTCTAATTTCTAATCATTTCCAGCATATCTGGAAAAAGTTGGAGGTGCTGGTTCTCTCTGGGAGGCTGAGGGTGCGGGTTTCACCACATCTGGTGTTGTAGGTGTGGAAAAGGCTCTCCAAGTTCATCCTGCTTTAGGGGGGAGCAGGACCTAGAGCACCGGCTTCCTAAGACTGAGCGTGGGAAATCTTGGAGCGGGCATGAAGGGAGACTTGAGCGCTATGGCAGTTGGGAACACCACTGTTGCCAAAAGTCAACAAAAAGAGGTTGAGCACTAACACTGATGTCTTTTCTCTTTCATTTAGGGAGAGCCAGGCCCTCCCGGTTTGCCGGGCCCACCAGTAAGTATTTTCTGGCTGACATTGACTTGCTCATCCTTTTGAGAGGGGCACGGTGCAAGAGCTAAGACTTACTGGCTCCTGTTCCTCTTGGTCTGCAGTGGAATTTCCGTAAGGAAATCCACAGCAGTGGAGATGCTCAGCACTGGTCCTGGGGACAAACACATTCTCCTGCTTCATTGCTGGCAGAGGGTATGCATGCGATAAAGCTCGTCCATCACCAGTACAACGTGACTGGCAGCATGCCGCACGGGCATAGTTATTTTTGGCATGGGTCTGAGCCTGCTTCGGCTCCTCAGTCTGCCAAGGGGTGCTCAAAATTGTACCAGGTGGCACAGCTCCTTGCTTTGGGCCCCTTACCCCATCCCTTTCTACCCCTCTACTAGGAACAGCTTATGAGTAACTGTATGTGGAACTGAGCCAAAGCACTGAAATGAATTTAGGATTTGGATATGGATTCGCGGAAAGTTTTGTCTCTGCAGGAATTCTTCCATGTTGCATGATTAACATATCAACAAATGAACTCCCATCTTATAGCCTGTATCAACACATGCCATGTTTCTCATGTTATTATGTTAGAAATAATTGCCTGTTTATCTGATTTAGGGGCCAAAAGGTGCACCAGGGAAGCCTGGAGCAGCTGGTGAAGCCGGATTGCCTGGCCTTCCTGGAGTGGATGTGAGTATTTTGTCGTCATCTCTTAGATCTTTTAAATATTTCACGTAGGCATGGATGTTTTCCCAAAGGCTCTCATCAGCTTTCTCTGTGTCTACTGGAGAAGCAAAGTGGGTCTTGTATCTACATAACTGCCTTGCATATCAGGAGAAATTTTAAGAGTTGAAAGCATCTCTTGATTGAATTAAGGAATATGAGAACAATTTTGAGATGCATCACTGACAGGATGGCGCTCTTACAATGAAACATTGAGGTTCTTCGGAGGTGCATTGGGCAAGTCTGCAGAAATACAGGCATCCGTTGACATTTTTGGAGCAAACCCATTGAGCCTCAATTCAGAAATCCAGCGGCACGTACTAGCTGGGGCTTGCTGGTCACCAGCCTGGGATTCCCCCTACGGCTCTGGACCGGTGACTGCACACAGTCCAGTTTTCCCAGCTTACCAACCCACTGCCCTGGTAGCTGAGTGTGGGTAAGGTTTTAGCCAGCGCATTTTCTTCTGCATCAGGCGAGAGGGAGCATTCAGTCAGCTTCCGCAGTGAAGCTGCAGCTCAGTAAACGCCAGTAACAAGACCACTTTGCGGTGTTCATCATCAACAGAACTGAGAATTTGTGGTCCTTTCCTTTCTGATTAATTACAGAGAGAAATAAAATGGTTAGGCTTTCTTGAGAGCTTGGCTTCCAGATTATTTATGTTGGTGACAGTGACAAGGACTTCCTACAGCTCTTGCTAACGTATTTCTGGTTTCATGCTTATCTATCTATTTTATTCTTTTTTTATAGGGTTTAACAGGAACCGATGGCCCACCTGGCCCAAATGGGCCTCCAGGAGACCGTGTGAGTACCACATTAGATCCTAAGTCCCAATGAACATTGTCACTGATTGTGGTAATGATTTCTCATTCCTTTGTAAATTGATGGCATTTGAGTGTTGATTACAATAGCTCATTTATCCATAAACCCTTGCAGAACACTTGGGCCCTTGAAAGGAAGGCCCAGACGGCTTTTCATTAGGCAGGGCATGAGATCCATCTTTCTTTCACGTGGCTTTGAATGGGCTTGGGTGGCCTCGGTGCTGGGAGTACCAGTGCAGAACAGCTCTGGTGATATTTTGAGTCTCTAAAAAGTTCCTTGAAGCAGTCACTAGCCTTAATTATGAAGTCTATCAAAGTGGAGCTATTTTGGCCTTTATTTGCAGTCTGAGTACGCAGCTCTGTTGTGTTTAAACAGTTAAGACACAGTAGCAGTAATTATAAACTTCTGCCTTTTGTTAATTCCGGGGCTGTCCATATGGTTGACATTACTAGTTGCTTTTGGCATAGACTTCCCCAGCCAGGGTAGCAAGAACTAAGAGGTTTTTCTTGCTTCCTGCATATTACATCTCTGCTAAGGGGCACCACAGAATAGAGAAATGACTGCCTGAGACGTTACAGATGTCCTTCAGACCATCTACAATGGGGCCAGAAGGCACTTAGGCCTCCTTACACCATTAAGAACTAAACATGAACGAGCCATTCGGCACAGATTTTTATCCAGCATGGCTATTTTCCCATCTCCCAACGTGGGAAAATAAGGCTTGTTTCCACAGCTGGTTTGTTGGTCTCTGAACTCGGGGCTATGGTGATGGGCTGAACACACATCACGGCGTGCAGAGGTTAAAAAAGGTTCGATATATCTCAGTGGTCAATTTGTTGCCCTGAGGAGTTACCCAAAGCTCAAAACTCTGTGAGTGGACTCATTTAGTTAAAGGGATGAGTGACAGAGCCATGTATTTTTGATACGCTCTTCTTCCTTTTGCCATGTGCAAGGCAAAGTTTGCTTGGCCACTGGGAAAGTTGAGTGGCAGGAGCCGAGTGCCTCGCTCACAGCCCCCAGCCTCCCTCCATTGGCACTGCACTATAAACCATCTCCTTTGCTTTTCCTCGTGCCCACCTTTCTCCCCAGAGATCCAGGGCGGCAAAATCCTGACCACTCTCAGGCAGCCTGTGGCAAGAGTCCAGTGCCTTCTGGGAACTGATCCCTCATTTTTAAAATAGAAAAGTTCAGGACCACACACAAGAAGTCTGTGGGCGGTTTTGTGCCCTTGTTTCGTGTTCAGCGGTAGCATTTGCCCATGCCCGCTTTAGCACACAAGCTCCTGGTTTGCAGGGTAATGGAGCAGGTAATTTCTGGGCAAAAGAACTTCCTCTAAAGCTGTGTAGGAGAAGCACAAAAATTCTGGTTTAGCACAGTTATGGTAACTGCATGCTCTGGTTTGACGTGCTTTCCCGTGTCTGGTAACTCAAGCTGTCAGCATGGGGCAAACCTGGGACCCGTTGTCATTTATGGGAGCTTTTCAAGGTCAACGGTCCATCTGGAAAATTGTTTTAATTGGTCTAATAAAAGCCTGGAAAAAGAAAAGAACCTGTAAATCTCTAGCAGTCTAAAAGGACGGCATTGTTATCCCGACTTTCTTTCTTCCGACCGACTTTAAGAACACATTTCAGCCTCCCAGGAATCCCTGAAATAAGCAGGTGTCTGCTCACTGTGGTGGGACTGAATTCACACTTCACGCTGCAACTTCTGCTGAACAAGCAGGTTTTTCTGAACTGGGGTGTCTGAGGGCGAAGGTGTTCGGCGTATGGACGTGGGCTCGTGGAAGACAGTTTTTAGTAATACGCTATTGCTGAACGTTTCTTTTCCCCTATACGCCACGCTTCATCAGCCCAAGAGTGATTCACGTCTGACCAGGGACAGACTGTTGTGAAGGCAGCGTACCAAGATGGTTTTTATCTTAACTACTCCCGTCGCTATCAGCACCCGGTAGCTTTTCTCATGGTTCTGCTTACAGACTGATTGGATCAAGCCTACTTGGTTTTTTTCAATTTAAAAAATCCTTTCAGCCAGGAATGAGCTGGGTTCAGTGACCTCAGTGATCAGTATTGGTGTCCTTCATGGGAAAGTTTTCAAAGGCCATTTTAAAGTTCAGTGCTTTACACTACAAGAACGAAGAAAACATAATTATTCATATTTATTTATGAATGTCATCTTAATCAAGTATTTCCTATGCTCCGTAGTTGTATATTCATAAAGGGCATTACTTTAAAGTGAAAAATTGTGGTGAGATTGTTTTCTAATCAAAAGAGAAAGAACATTGTTACCAGGAGAATGAGTTGAGTCAGACAATGTTATTAAAAACGAGGTGCAAATTAGAGTCTCTCCTTTGAATTTAATGGAGTCCCATCAGCTTGCTCAGGGACTCGATGATCTTCTACCGCACCAGGACCGTGCGCTGCTGCATGCTGCACCTTCCGCCTTCAAAGATATCAAAATTAAGGAGAGTAAAGTGCCAGTGCTTGGCACTTTGGGTACGCTGCCAACCGCTTGGCATGTTGGCCAAAGCAGAAAGGGGCTGTGCAGCCGGTTTCAGCGGGGGCAGGTTTAGGGTGCAAGTCAGTAGGTGCCAGGAATTCAATGTTTTCTTTACAGGAGGAGATCCCAGCTTGTCCCTTACAACCGTCAGTGGTTGTGAGGACCTCAACCTAAAGATAAAAAAAGGGGCTGGAAGCAAAGCAGAGTAACCTGCAGCTAGAGAAGTAAATGAGCTGACATTTGCAGCAGAGTTGATTTTTATTGGATTACAGTCCTCTCCTCACACGGCTCCCATTAATGAGGCCTTGGATCCTCCGTATCTTTCTCCTTAAGCTTAACAAGGGAAAATATGTCTAATCTCATTTGGTATGCGGATCGTTAGGAAAGGGCTGGAGTCATCCCTGGGATCGCAATAAGCAGCGCTGGGTTGGGATATTTTCCAGGTCTGCCCATCTGCTTTGTTCTCCTGGTCCTAGGGGTGGATACCATTGCGTTCCAGCTCAGGACACCATTCTTGGGATGTTTCTGTGCAGCATTTTGAGAACTTTTGGAGAACAGGTTTGGGCATTCGGGCTGGTGAGGGGTGGAGGGAGCCTCGTGCTGCAATGGCTCTGTCCCCTGGGCAAGGAGGTGAGGGCTTTGCTGGCGCTGGTTTAATGCAGTCCATAAATAACCACATGGTTTGTTCTGTGTTTAAGTCTGTCACCTTCTTACTCTTTTAAGTTCTGCCTTTATCAGAGAGCAACATCAGCTGGCAGCAACACAAATGCCAGCACAAAGCCGTCCGCGGCAGAGCCTTGAGGCCAACGCGGCTCCTCGGCAGCTCCCGGGTGTCAGCACAGCTTAGAGAAACCCGCTGAGGGCTATGTCAGTGCTATGAGCAAATTATTGTTTTATTTATCATTCACCCCAAATTACACTGGCATTTTGGCACCTCCACCACTTCTTTTTTTCCTTTCCTTTTTTTTTCTTTCCTTTCCTTTTTTTTCCTTTCCTTTCCTTTTCCTTTTTCCTTTCCTTTCCTTTCCTTTCCTTTCCTTTCCTTTCCTTTCCTTTCCTTTCCTTTCCTTTCCTTTCCTTTCCTTTCCTTTCCTTTCCTTTCCTTTCCTTTCCTTTCCTTTCCTTTCCTTTCCTTTCCTTTCCTTTCCTTTCCTTTCCTTTCCTTTCCTTTCCTTTCCTTTCCTTTCCTTTCCTTTCCTTTCCTTTCCTTTCCTTTCCTTTCCTTTCCTTTCCTTTCCTTTCCTTTCCTTTCCTTTCCTTTCCTTTCCTTTCCTTTCCTTTCCTTTCCTTTCCTTTCCTTTCCTTTCCTTTCCTTTCCTTTCCTTTCCTTTCCTTTCCTTTCCTTTCCTTTCCTTTCCTTTCCTTTCCTTTCCTTTCCTTTCCTTTCCTTTCCTTTCCTTTCCTTTCCTTTCCTTTCCTTTCCTTTCCTTTCCTTTCCTTTCCTTTCCTTTCCTTTCCTTTCCTTTCCTTTCCTTTCCTTTCCTTTCCTTTCCTTTCCTTTCCTTTCCTTTCCTTTCCTTTCCTTTCCTTTCTTTTTCTTTCCTTTCCTTTCCTTTTTCCTTTCCTCTCCTTTTTCCTTTCCTCTCCTTTTTCCTTTCCTTTCCTCTTTTTTTTTCCTTTCCTCTTTTTTTTTCCTTTCCTCTTTTTTTTTCCTTTCCTTTTTAAAAATAGCTCTGCTCTCATCAGCTGCCTGCCTCTGCTTTTCCTTTCCCCATTGCACCAACGGCTGTGTTCAGAGGAGGCTCTCAGACCCAAGAGCATCAGTCAGCAATGCATGCCCTGTATCTCTTGGAGATACCTTAACAGCTGCTGGCCAAGGTCAACCCACCACACTGTTTTGGTTTGTGGTTTTTTTTTTTTTCTTCATTTTTATATTTCCATTTACTTTGTTTCAAAATTGCTACCTATAATTAATTTTACAGTCTACCGGCCAATGTTGGCATCTGTGCAATGCAACAGAGGGGTGTAGAAGGTCAGTCTGTCTGTCTTACTATCTTTAGTTAAGCAGGAACATAGCAACTTTAAGAATGACTTAATTCTAGTTGAAGACATAAGATCACCAAACTCTAGTCAAGCTTAAGAATAAGAATGCAAATTGGGAAAAGGAGATTGGGGGTTTGCCAAGGAAAGCTAGCAAAGAGGCAGAAGCTGCCAAATTTTTGCCTTTGCTTGAATGGAAAATAAAATCCACTAGGATGAGTCCAAATCTTACAAACAGTTTCAGATAATTGAGTCATTGGGTCTACAATATGAATGTATTACGAATGAGAATATTTCAAATGGATGAAATTCAGTTTATGAACGTTTAGGTATTTGTGGACGCTAACGTGAGGCCAGCTGTGACTTGCAGAACTGTCTGTTTAGTCTTTTAGGAGCAGCTCATGTTTTAGTCTCTACTCTCGCTTGACCCACAAATGGTGAAGAAAGTTGCCAGGCCCAGTTCTGAACACCCAGCCCTATTATCTTAAAATGTTCTTCAGCCAAGTAATTGCTCAGGAATGACAGAGTCATTATCCATAAGTTTCTGTCCTTGGATTTGTGTTCAGCTGAGCAACTCCAGTTCCGTGCTGTTTCTGTAAGACACTGCTGGAGTTTTCGAGCAGAGATCAGCGTTGAGGAGAACAGGCTTTGGTGCCTACCCATATGGAGGTTTCTGGTTTATCCCTGCTAATTTGGACTCTGTTTTATTCCTGTAGGGTGCATTAGGACCTTCTGGGCCACCCGGGCCAGCTGTAAGTACCTCCTAGACCTGTGTATGTAAAGTTGGTGCATAATATTATGCAAAACCATCACCAAGACAAGGCGGGAACATGTATCCCAAACAAAGGGGTCAAAGCCTGACTGGGTGAAAATACTTTTCAAAGTGTTTATATATGTATGTGTGACCTGTTCTGGTAACACAGGGCCTTGTCTTAGTCTCTGAGAGATGTTAAAAGCAAGCCAGTTTAGGATAAAGACTAGCATATCAAATGCTATCAAAATGATTAAGCAATAGATAATGTCTAATAAAAATGAAAAAGAAAAAAAAAAGAAGTCATTAAACTAGAAAGTTGTCTTCATAAATGTCTGTGTCCCACTATCACGTCGCTGTATGGGGCTTTATTTAGAGATATCTCGTAGGTAACAGCGATGTAAAGGGAATACAAATTATTAGTGGCAACAAAAGGATTGGTTAAGTTCTTTAAGACTCTGGCTCTGCTCTGATTGCAAATTACAATAATTGGGGGTGGGGGAGTGCTAAGGGAACTTAAAAGAAAAAAAAAATAATTAAGCAGTACTTTCTGAGGTTTGCTTTTTTTGTCCTGTATGTTCAGTTTATAAGCGATCTTTTACTGTTTTAAATGTTGTTTCCAGGGCAAAGGACTACCAGGACCTCCAGTAAGTAATGAGGCTCTTTTTTGAAAAAGAGGTTTAAATAATTTTACTAGCTTTATTGGATACCTGGAGTGTTACAGCCCCACCCCAGGCCTTGGGTCCCTCTGCAGGGCAGAGGGATGTGGAATCCCGCAGCTCAGCAGCCTTTTGGGGTTTTTATGCTTACCTTACCCCCAGGTAAGCTGGCAGTGGTGTAAATTAAGGCACAGCAGCCTTCTAATCGCTGGAAATGACCAGTTCTGGGACAGCTTTTGTCTGGTGGTTTCCTGGAGCATCTCAGAGCTGCTCTGTGTCAGAGGGGATGCAGGCGTTGGCAACAGGCGGCGATGGCAAGAGCAAAAAGGAAGATTTGCATTGGCAAACTGTGGGGGTGCAGGATTGGGCTCTTCGGAGGGGTTAGACTAACGAGTGCAGCCAGACTGTTTGTTTGCCCCGGGTTTTGGCAGCTATGTGAGGTTGCCGTGGGTGTAAGGGTCTTCTCTCTGTTCAACAGGGGCCGCCAGGACCCAGCGGGCTCCCAGGTGGAAATGGATTTCGGGGTCCTCCTGTGAGTTTTTGCTACCATTTGATTCTCATTTACTGAACATGCCACAACCACAGAAGAACAAGGTTCATTTCTGGTCTCTTACCCCATTCTGGAACCGAGATGCACAAGACACTACAAGCTCTACCAATGCCCATGGATGATACTATTCCTTGTATCAGCTTGTGTAGGGTCACCCTGGTCAACCAGTGCAGTGCCAAAGATGTGTGACTGCTTGCAGCCATATCTTCCTTTACCAACTATGAGTAAAGACAAAAGAGCAGCCAATGCCACGAGAATAGAGATTAGTTACCAGCTGGCTCGTACTTTCAGCATCCTCAAAAGAAGCCACAGCACAGAATGGTTCTGATCTGCAGGAGCCCATTCCGCAGAAACATACCATCATTTTTGGGTGTCCCCAGCTCCACTGGTGGAGAGGTACAGAACAGGGATGTAGGTGCAGGGATATGTTCTTCTGTCCTAATCGCTATGCTTCCATATGCATCTGCTCTTCTCTTTGCAGCCATAGAAGCCTCTGCAGAAAGAAAGGTGCAGTTTAGTCCCATTAGAGATATCTTGCCCCACATTCACAAATATGCAATGGTATTTGGTAGCCACCCTCCCTTTCCCTTTTAATTTTCATTTAAATGATTAAGAAGGGGAATTCTTTCTGGTTTTCACTCTTTTAGGGACCTTTTGGTCTGCCAGGATTCCCAGGGCCTCCTGGACCACCTGGACCTCCCGTAAGTTGAGACCTGCAAATAAATGTGAGAAAATTCCCATGGGGAGTTCAGAATTTTCTTCTTGCTGGCAGAACATCCCTGGTTTATTTGCCGCCATTGCCTGTTCTCCTTTTCCAGGCTAAGTTTCAGCAGGCTGTAAACACCCCCAAGCCCCAAGGGACTTTTCACTGGCTGCACTTTGCTGTGTTGGTTATCTATCTCCAGTTTATTGTTTGTGCTGGGTTGGGTGGAGGAACCCCGGGACGCCTGGGCTTTATGGCATAGACAGCGTGCAGGGTGGGCTTTCTGTTCTCTTAAGGTTTATATGGTTGCTTGGATCATGATGTGTTCTTGTAGGGCCAGCAAGGGGGGCTTGAAACCAGCAAGTCTTTTTTGGCGGGGTTTGCTATGGTATCTCTGGAGGGTTGGAAGCATAGAGAGGTCTTTCCCAAGGAACTTCCCAGGCACAGCTGCTCTTCTCAAGTTGCTGCCTTCATCACCTAAGGCTCAAGGCTCTTTCCCAAGCTCAGCTGTGCATCTCCAGAGGATGACTACAGCCCCGACATGTCTGTTTTGAGGACTGGTGCTGCTCATATCGCTCTGGGTTCAGGGGCTGCATTTTATGCTGTGGGGCTGGGTATCTGCCTCGTGCTGATCCAGCTGAGCTGGGTCTGTAAAGCGTGTTTTCTCGAAATTGTATCTCCTCCTGGTGTTTCTCTTCATGTATTTAAAAGACCACATTTCACGAATTGCAGGGTCTTCCAGGCACCCTTCCTGATGGCGGCGGGGACCTCCAGGTATGTTTTTTCTTCATGTAGCATGACAATGTGTTTTGGTTTTAATCCTTGACGTGACTTTTCATTGGCATACTTGGGTCAGACCATTTAACATGCACCGTTCAGACCTGCAGATGTGGGTCTAAGCGGCCGTATTGCAGAATGCGTAAGTGTTGCATGCATATTCACAAGACCACAACGTTCTTTCAAAGGGGGTAGATATGCCAGTGCTGGGTTTTCCCTTGATCTTTGCTTTCCTGTTTGCTTTCCAAAATGCAGGTTTTGCGTACATCCTTCATTTACGAAACAACTTTAGTATTTGGTAAATGACAACAGCTTTTCATGCATCTGTTTCCAGTCCTGCTTTGCAAGAGAAAAGGTCGCGCGTGTTGCGCTGTTTATTTCCACGGGTGGTGGCACCGGGTTCCTATGGGCATATGCTTTGTTTAGACTTCCTTCGAGAAAGTCTTGATTCCTTTCTTTGAAAGGAGTGTTAAGTCCATGAACGATGGAAGTGACATTTCCAGATTTCGCAGCTGTTGTTGTGACAGCATCTTTGGTTTTCTAATTGGTGTGCCCCAAAAAAGCTCAGAGTCAGTTTAGACTGCCTTATGGCACGTCACGTGGAAGTTAATAGAAAATGATGCTATTTCTGCAATTTTAATTTAGGTTACCCTGTGGAATATACTAGAAAATTAAATTCCTGCTATAGAGATGTAGCCTGGGCTTTTATTAAAAGAAAAAAACCAAACAAATTAAAGAAAAGCTGCAGAAGAAAATCTCATTCCCTATTTATAGCTTTCAGAGTATGGCTTTTTAAGCCCCATTACATTTCCATGCATGTTCTGATTTGTTCCCAGTCAAACCAGAGTTCCCACCCGGGGCTCACCCACCCCCTAGACACCTGCAGATACCAGCTTTATTGGTATTTGGGTTAATTTTTTTATAGGTCCCCTTCTGATAAACTCTAATGCTTGTCCTTGTTTCAGTTAGGTGAGTTGCTAATGGAAATCAGTAGGGGTCAATGAGTGCATAGAATTAAATATGTTCCTAATGATTTACAAAATACCCATCCAGCTTCACTGGGGACCTGTGGTTCTCCACTATTTTGGACTGCAGGCCTCTGTCAGCCTTCAGAATCTTCCACAATCCATGCAGGAGTGCTCAAAGTGAAGCAGACTATGCTTAAATTATTATTTTGTGGGTTGCTGGGGGCCTGAAGATCTGTTTAGGACCTCCTGCCATAGGGAAATGCTGGTGAATACATTATGCTATGAATCCATTAGTTTTAGGGGGTTTAGAGCCAAAACCCACAGGACCTGTTCTCCTCTCCCTAGCATTGAAACCAGCTTCCCTGGATGCGCTGTGTGTGCTTGATAAACCAAAGAGTGTTTCTGTTTCTTGCAGTGCCCAGCTCTGTGCCCGCCGGGTCCTCCAGGTCCCCCGGGAATGCCAGCGTTCAAGGTAAGAAAAATACCACCTGGGGATACAAGGGTCTGTCTCCCAAAGTAAACACCACTAGGAACCCCTGGGATTTAATGCTTCTATATACAGCACACATCTCCTGTAGGCTCCACACCTCTCCACACCAGCCATGCATTTGGCCTCAGTTTATGCTGTTGCAATGTTTAGGGTATAACCAAAATTCATAGCTTATGAAATGGAAAAACCTGTGAAGGTCTCCAATTATGATGCAAATGAGGCACAGGACCTTTTGCGTGGTGAGGAATAACATCTGCTGTGGCTGAAATTAGTCTGGGTCTCTCCCACAATAATGGGAAGAGGGCCAAAAAGCAAAGTGAATCTGAGTTTATATAAAAGATTTCAGTGGGACGTGGATTTCTTTGCAAGCTGGAGGATGCAGACATTAAAGATGACTTAAACAAAAAGGAAGGTAAAAGATACAGAATGGGGTTTTCAGAAGCATCTCGGCCCCATTTTCAAAAGTGATGGGAACTGAGTTTCTGGTCCCTGACCTGTAGCCTAATCTCACCACAAGTCACTCTTGAAAATGAAATCTGGGCCTTTCCTGAAACTAGATCAGTTTTGACCCAACGATACCGAACGCAGGAATGGCGCATGGCTAATTCATGGCTAATTAACCCAGGCGTGGCCTCCATTCACACAGTTACAGCACGTGTGTAAATTATTTTCCCAGTAAGTTGTTTGTGTTGTGTGGGTTCGGGTCTTACAGCTATCTCACAAAATTTAAATTTTGAAACAAGATTGTACTGGAGTGTGAATAACTGGAGCTCTTATTTCCAGGGACACACTGGTCACAAAGGAGAACCTGGTGAAATAGGAAAAGAAGGAGAAAAGGTAAACTTCAATTTAAGGGGGGTAGCGAGGCTTTTTTTGCTTTAAAAGCACCATAACAAATAGTTTCTTCAAGAAGAGAGGGAGAAACGAGGCGGTTGGCTGCACAACAAGGAGAAGTTGATATGACTGATGTGCATGGGCTTCCATTGCTCTGCATGCAAGACTTTGTGCTCGTCCTTCAAGAAAATTCATCTTCCCAATAATCATGACGTTAAGATTGGGTCGATAAGTGAACACCTACTGTTTCACATGCAGGGGTGTCAGCTCAGGATAAAAGTCCTGCATTAAACACTCAGGTAAATTCCTGACTGATCAAGCATGTCAAAGAAATTGCTTTGCAAGTAGAAGCAAATTCTGAAGCAGAAATCTGAGAGGGAGGGAGCTCAAGGAGAAATAAGATGGGAAGGTCCCTGGCTTTGGGTTGGTAGGCTCATGCTGTCTCGCCCTTTGTCTAATTATTTTTTCCTCTCCCAGGGCAACCCTGGCCCTCCTGGTCCTCCGGGCATTCCCGGCAGCGTTGGGCTGCAGGTAACACCTACTCTTCAGACTGGTTCCCGTGACCTTTTTACTGTGAAACTCAGTGGCACCATCAATCATTTTGCCTTACACATAATAACAGATGTGGAAGTTGATGCTGGTAAAAAACCAACTCATGCTGGTTTCACTGAGCTTTAATTCAGGTCCTGCTTTTGGTACCTCACCTTGGATGAGATGTCCAGGTGATAGCCACTATCTTGCTGGTACTCCAGTAGAGCCCGGGACACCTTTTTGGGTGGATCAGCCCAGGCTGAGCTCTGGGCTGGCTGGACAGCCTGGCCGGTGGGCTTGGGAGGGCAGGGACTCCGAATGCACCTGCATTGCTCAGTGGTCATCACCGAATCTTGGGAGGGCAGGGACTCCGAATGCACCTGCATGGGGTGCCTGCAGCACCACTTGCTCAGTGGTCATCACCGAAGGGCAAAATGTCTTGTCTGTGCACCAGAAGGCTGAGCCATCGGCCGCTTTTCACTGTTTCTTCATGTTTTCTGTGTTGAGGAGTTGCTGCATCACGCTGTTCTGCCATTTGATGCTTAACAGTGATTGGGTTTTAACAGGTTTGTTTTCTTCATTAGGGCCCAAGAGGACTAAGAGGCCTCCCTGGTCCAATGGGTCCGGCTGGCGACAGAGTAAGAAAAACCTTCTGATTTCTTTTCTTTTTTTCCCCTCCTCCACCACCAGTTTTTCTCATGCAAGGTCCAGGTGTCATTTGTCCTTACTGAAGACCACCAGGGAACTTGTAAAGATGCAAAATGCAGGTTCCTTCCTGCACCCCCCCAAGCTGAATGACCTTCCAAAGGCAGGATGAGTCCACATACATGAGGGACCGGCAGGATCAGGCCCAGTGTTGATTTAAGCATTTAGACAAGAAGGACAAAATGCTGTCCCTGCAGGACTGACAGTGCCAAAGGATCTTGCCAAAAACCTGAGAAATGTTTCATGAACATTTCACTTTCTGTCGTATTTCTTTACAAGAAAATGCTAAAGAAATCGCTGGTGGACAAAGATTTTCTGGACACGAAAAGTCTGCTCAGGCAGAACAGGGTCAACCTCTCGTTCCTCGTGGCTTTGGACTTTTGCCAAGGGGCTTTGGACTTTTGCCAAGGTCCTTTGGCCATTCCCCTAGAGGCTGAATGCTTTTGAATTTGACAAAGTCATGCATTTATTTAGGATCAGGTGTGTTACCCAGATACCGAGGCCATGAATGATATCGGTGTACCACGGAGATAATGGTGGGGACATCCAGGGTAGGAACCTGCTTGGGCAGAGGAGGATCTCTTGCCAGACTGTATTGCAAGCCAGCAAGAACTTTGGGGTATCTTTCCAGGGCTTTGTGTTTTCTTAGATTGCGGTGTAAGGTGGGGATACTGTTACTTCACCCTCCGCCAATACAGCATTACAATGATGTATTATTCTCTGCAGGGTGACATCGGTTTCAGAGGGCCACCTGGCATCCCGGGACCTCCAGGGAAAGCTGTATGTATCTACCTCTCAGCATCTCTCTGGCCCTGCCTTCCACAACCAAACTGAGAGTTTATCCCTCCTGCACTAAACTCTTTGCTGCCGGAGAACAGGAGGAGCGTGCTGACCATCTCCATCAGATCATTCCCTTTGCCTTTTTCCCTCCAGTTAAAGCAGTGTTACTTCACCTGACCCAGATCTCGTGGTGTCTTTCCCTTGGTCATGCCCCATGCCAGAATAAGTTCACCACGTTTCCATTGCTCTCCGTTCTGTGCTGCTCTTCCCTCAGCATCTGCATCTGTGAGCAAGCTCTCGAGAGGGGCATCTGTGGTGTCCTTGGGAAGGAGAGTTGAGGGAAGAACGAGTAGGTGCTATCCTCAGCTTACATGTACAAATATCTCAAGGGTGGATGTCACGAGGTCAGAGTCAGACTCTTCTCAGTGGTGCCCAGCGACAGGACAAGGGGCAATGGGCACAAACTGAAACAGAAAAGGTTTCAGTTGAATATGAGGAAGACCTTCTTTACTTTGAGGGTGACAGAGCTCTGGCGCAGGCTGCCCAGGGGGGCTGTGGAGTCTCCTTCTCTGGAGATATTCAAAGCCCACCTGGAGGAAGTCCTGTGCCCCCTGCTCTGGGTGAGCCTGCTTTAGCAGGGGGGTGGGACTAGATGATCTCCCAAGATCCCTTCCAACCCCTGCCATTCTGTGATTCTGTGAAATCCTTTAAGCCTGGTCTATTCCCAAATCCCCACAGCTCGCAAAGACTTTTGCTGCAAGGAGAAATAGTTGGGTATTCGAGATGCAGCCCTCAACCTTTTGCAGAGCTCTGGGGTGAAGCGTAGGAGAACACAGAACCTGACCTGTGGGCAGACAGACCCCTGTACCCTCCTCGCCGTGCCCAAATACGAGACCAGAGCTGCATCTGCAGCCTTGTGGCCTCTTGAGAGCGTTTCCCACTGGCCTGCCACCCTGCCTCTCCTTACTGGGGGTGACGTGAATCCCCGTTACAGCAGACACCTCTGCCTGCCTACGCCAGCCAACACTTCACAGTCTGCATTGACCCCGAGGCAGTGCCACCCTCGGGGGACCCCTCCCTGGTCTTTGCAATTGTAGAAGAAATTCATCTGAACTAAAAGAAAATGAGGTGTTTACTGTCCACCAAATGTTTAATTACGCCAAGCAGGATCTAGACAGTAAATATGAAAGTTTTTCTCCTACTTTATTTCTGATTAAAGAAAATGCTTTATTAAATGAAGGGGAAGATGCTCCCTGCCCTGAGGGGTTGTTGGCAAAGTCCCTGCTGCAGTCGGTCTGTGTGTCAGGAATTACAGGGTGTAACTGAGGAAGTACAGCCGAGCTCCGAGGGGAATGGTGTGCTGACGCCTCTGCTAACACCAGCAAACGGCACAAGAAACCCCTCCGTCATTTACATCCTTGAAACTTTGGTCTTTGTTGCTGTGTGATGAAGATGCTTAATGGCTTTTCCTCCTCTGTCACAGGGAGACCAAGGAAACAAAGGACCTCAGGGATTCAGGGGGCCCAAAGGCGATACTGTAAGTGCAGTAAAACACCCGTCTACTCGAATTTTGGCCGTGACATTCAAAGGAGTCTGTCTGACAGGTTTATTATGGCTTGTCCCCACCTTGGTTTCTTTGAAAGGGAGGTGAAAGGGATGAAAGCATTTGTCTCAAAACCAAGATGTTTAAGTCTTATTAAAGATGCCTAAGTAATAAGATGCCGAAGTGCTTCTTACACAGGGATCAGCGCTTGCATCTCCATGCCTTGAAACCATCAAGAATTTCCCCAGATGCTGCAGCCAGCATTAGAAGAGTTTTCTGGTGTGTCCTGAGAGAACCACCATACCTATATAGACAGGACAGGGGCCAGCACAAACGGAATGAAATGTCCCTACAGAGTCTGAGTAGTATCTTTGTTGACTGATTGTTCTTAAGGGTTGTGCCCTGGATAACACAGGATTTATTGTTGATTTCTAGGGTAGGCCTGGACCAAAAGGAAACCCAGGGGCTCGTGGATTCATAGGAGAACCTGTAAGTCAATTAAATAGGATGCAGGTCTCACTGTTGTCTTGCATACAGATGATGAGATACAGCACGATAGGAAAACGCTTGCATCTTACAGTCTTTGCTATCAAACTTCTGCTCGGTGGGTCTCTGTAACCTGCAGTGTAACCCCAGTTGGACCAAACCCCAGCTGTACTGCTGGTAATGGAAAATCTCCCTGTACAACTGGAGCTGGACCCATGGCCAAAAGGTCCTTTGATGTGAATGTATTTTGCAAACCACAGAGTCTCCTCATAACCTTAACTGGTGTTGTGCATGGTTGCAGGGCATGCCTGGCAAGGATGGACGGGATGGAGCTCCTGGACTCGATGGTGAGAAGGTTTGTAAAATTCTACTTAAACACTGCAGGAAAGATTTCTGTTAGTGTCCCATGTGTGTTGTAAAGCTACTGATGCTTGTCAAGAAAGAGCATGGCTGGAAAGCTTTTGCTTCTAAAGAGTTTTCCAGTAGCGTAACTAGTGAAGAAAAGTGAAGTGGCTCCTATTAATTAATCCCAAGGAAATTCCCTAAAGAAAGAAGATGCACATATGGGCCACGCGCATATGATCTAAACTCAGCTGTGTCCCTATACTTAGTGGTTCCCGTTGGCTGACTCTAGGCCTTCAGAGATGCCTTTTCAGAGCTGTTGACAGAGACATCTGTTTATTTTAATTGCCTGTAGACAAAGTGCTGTCAGGTACTGGTTTCTTGGTTTTTGAACAGTGAATCCCGCAGGAGCACGGATCGTGTGCCAAGGAAGGCTGGGAGCTGCAAGGGGACTAAGGAAACCCCTGGGAGCTCTGGGCACCTCCTTTCCAGTGGGTGCCCACCTCCTGTAGACACAACAGCCTGCACATAGAGGGAGGGAGAAGATGACAAATGCCTGTTTGGGAATGTGTCCCCTACCTGTGTCAGACCATTTGCCAGTGGCAGAGGGTCTCTCCTAACCTCCCAATATCCACAGGGCGATGCAGCTCGCATGGGTGCTCCTGGAGAGAAGGGGCCAAACGGACTTCCCGTGAGTATGGCAGCAGGGCCCGTTGCCTTCGGGGGGGTACAGCAGCTTGGGCTGCCTATGGAGGTCATTCCTGGGGAGAGGGGAGGCTCGCTTTGTGCATGGTCTCACAAGGGGCCCCATTTAAGCCAAGAGGAAATGCACTTTTCCCACCATACAAACAGGGGAGGAATGTTCAAGACAGAATGGAAAACAACGTGGGTAGGGGTCAGGCTCTGCTCCCAGGGAAGGGGCGATAGGACGAGGGGAAATGGCCTCAAGTTGTGCCAGGGCAGGGTTAGGTTGGACATTGGGAAAAATTCCTTCCCCAAAAGGGCTGTCAGGCACTGGAAGGGGCTGCCCAGGGAAGGGGTCGAGTCCCCATCCCTTGGGGGGATTTAAAAGCCGGGCAGAGGCAGTGCTGAGGGCCAGGGTTTGGGGGTGGGATGGCAGGGGTAGGGGAATGGTTGGACTTCATGAGCTTAAAGGGCTTTTCCAACCTAAATGATTCTATGGTTCTATCTGGAGTAGCACCAAATACTAATATAGAAATACCCTGGCTTTTGGCCACTCTGGCTCTGTTTAAGATTTAAATTTGAGAGGGGTTTTCTCTTTCACATCCCAGTGACGTGCACCCCTTGTGCAGGGAGGTAAGACCATAACAGTAGCTTGAGCTCTGTCCTTGGCTTACTAGTGTTCCTTGGTGAAATGTTTCATCTCTCCAGTCTTCCAACTGTTTAAATAGAGGTAAAGTATTCCTTTCTTCCTGCCTTATGGAATATTTTGAACACTCTGGGAGAGAGGTTTCTGCTGTCCAAAATGCTGCTGCTGCCGCTCTATTTGTATATTCCTCCTCTTTGCTCTAATTGCCAAGGATTAGTGTACGTAGAGGTGCTCGTGCAGTGAACGAGAGGGAAATTGAAGCCATAATTTTCATGGTGTAAGCTGCAGAAATGGAAATCCTGCATTGCTTCAAGCAAACATTGCTCCTTGTATGTCAAATCAGACCAGAAAAACAAATTAACTCTACTTCTTCTGACATTGCTTTAATATTTTTTTTTCAGGGGCTGCCTGGAAGAGCAGGTATTAAAGGCTCAAAGGGTGAACCAGTAAGTGAGTCTCTCTAATGATGGGTTCTCGTGCGGAAGCTACTAAATTTGTCACGGCAAGGCTTTTCGGCTTTTGGCTATTGATGCCCACAGGCAGACCCTGGGAGGGCTTATCCCAAGGGATGGCGTCAGTGTTCCCACCAGGGCTGGGTGCCCCTGGCAGTGAGGAGCAGGCGTTCAGTGTAACGACTGGGATGGCCCCACTCTTGTGGAGACAGCTCTTGCATCTGGTTCGGTGAAGGTCTAGCAGATACACAGGAGAATCATCAGTGGTTTCATGAACCTCAGAAGGAAGCATTCACCCTTTTGTCAAAGCCCCAAAAGCAGGCTTCATCTCTGGGAATCAAAAGGCTGAGCATCTGCAAGCAGGGGCAGGATTATCTCATCCTGCCTTTTGGAGACTCTCCCCCCAACCTCAGGAGAAAAGCTTCCACGGAGCCTTACATTGGCACCTACCTGTGAGATGAAAGAAAAACCTCAGACAGACCAAAGCAGTCCAGTGCAAAGCTGTTCTGGGAAGCATCTTTTTTCCTGTCCTTCCCCTTCCTTTCTCAATTTTCCACTCTGCACCTGCATCATCATTACTGCTAATCCTTATGCACGCGAGCATGCTGCAGGAAGGCGTTTCTCCTTGCGTAGAGGTGATGCAGGAATGAATGGAATGGGGTGCCCTGAGCGCGGCTCCAGAAGAGCATCGCTGTCCCAGTGGTCCACTTCAGTCCGAGATGGGATATGGTGGCACTGCCCTGGGGCTGGAGCCCTCCCTTGTCACTGATGCCAGGACACGATGTACAGCTCACCTCTTCTTGTTGAGAGTTTTGTCGTCTTGATGTTAAAACTGTAAAAGTTTAAAGCTGGTTTTATTTCCTGATCCAGGTTTTAACCCCCTCCTCCGTTTGTTGCTGCAGGCAGGACAGAAACAACTCTCTGCAGTTATGCCCTAACTGAGTGTTCGCTTTCTCCTCTGCAGGGCAGTCCTGGCGAGATGGGAGAGGCAGGTCCCTCTGGAGAGCCGGGCATCCCTGTACGTATCCCCATCACTTACACTTATCACGAGCTCTGCTGAGGGTGTTTCAGACCAGGCTGTGAAGCTGGAGCTCGCACGCTGCTTCCTTGCACACAGAAAGCTTTTGGTGGCGCGCTAGGTGCTGTGCTGCCCGCAAGCCCGGGGTGCTGAGCGCTCCCGGGCAGCCCCGTGATGGGAGCGGCTGGGTGGGTATCTCCGTGCACAGACACCCCTGCAGCAGAGGCCAGAGCCCACCAAGGCAGGCGGTGTGACCTAGCGGATGGGGCAGCAGGGCAGGGAGTTTGGGATTGGAATAGCCTGGGATTCAGGAATACATTCCAGCTCTGCAATGGATTGGGAGGGGTGGATTCGTGGTTGCTAAACGGCGTGGCTGACTTTGGGGTTTTTAACTGTAAGTACAACGCTGCTTGTAAATCACATAGATACCCAAATCGAGTTCAGTCCCTGGGATTACTCCTTGGATAAAATAAAAGGCCACGTTCTCTCTTGGTAGTGTCTCTGGGGAGTTTTGGCAGCAGAGGCATTATACCCCCATAAGTGGGCCAGATCCTGCTCTCATTGACAGCTCCACACAAATGCATGGTGATTCCTCCCATTTCGTTTGGCAAAGACGGCTGCAGTTGTCCAAGAGGTTTTCGGAGGTGCTGCAGGCACACAGGAGAGCCTGGGCAGGCAGCAGGTCCCTGCCGAGGCGGTGGTAATGAGGTTCAGCTTGTGCTGAATGTGAGTCATTAATGAAGCCAAACTCTCGTTAAGCTATTGCAACCTGCATTGCCCCCGGCACCTGGACCATGAAATCCTTCCCATTCCTGTATCGCTCTCCTTGGAGCAGTAGAGGTTCGCTGCAAAACCTGAAGCCATATAAGCAACAAAACGGGAAAGCCTGCACCTTGTCAGGGTGAACGGCAGGGGCTTGAAAAGCGTTAAAAAGTTTGTCAGCCTGTTGGGGATCTCTTGCCTTTCTTGTACGTAGTTGCATGCCTTTCCCAACTGCTTGAAGATGCCCCAAAGTTCATGACCATGCAGTGGGTGGATGCAACACCAGAACAGTTTTTTGGGTGGGGAATCCATTCCTGTGTTTCCTTCTCCCAGGCAGTGCTGCAGCAGCGTTACCTTGCTGGGAGCTTGTAGGTGTGAGCCCCTAGGAAAGAAAACCCCATACACAGCTCTCGCAGGGCTCACTTTTACTCTGTGAACTGACAACTTTTGGAAACTTCTGGGTTAGAAACCGCTGAGGTCCTCAGTGGAGCCTTGTGTTCCTGCTTTCATCGCATTCCCTGCACCATAGAATCGCAGAATGTTTTGGGTGGGAAGGGACCCCTAGAGGTCACCCAGCCCAACCCCCCTGCAGGAGCAGGGACACCTTGAACCACATCAGGTTGCTCAGAGCCCCGTCCAACCTGGCCTGGAATGTTCCCAGGGATGGGGCCTCCACCCCCTCTCTGGGCAACCCCTGCCAGGGTTTCAGCACCCTCGTTGTAAAGAATTTCTTCCTTATATACCATCTCAGAGCCTGAGAAATAAAAAGTTGCAGGAGCTGCAATGCAAACCTGAAAACAACTGCATGGCTGCCTGTTGCGGTCCTG